GGCACAGTGATCCCACTGGCCTCCCCAGCTTGTAATGCTCCATGGGAGTGAGTAATGTCTCAGCATCCAACCACCAGTACATTAGCAGATCACACCAGAACCCTGCCAAAAGCATTCAGAGGAATCATTCCCGGAAGAGACAGGCTTCACTGGGAGAACTTGCACAACCTGCTTGTCACTGCCAGCCCCCAGAGCTTGCACAGGACAAAGAAACAGGATCGGTGGTAGCAGGAGGTAAAGAAAACCCATTCAGAGCAGAGTGGTTCCCATCAGATCACCATCTTTACATGAGTTTTGAAAACCCCCAGAGACCTTCTGGTACCTTGTTGCAGCACTTCCTTTCAGAAGAAACTTTTCCTAATGTCCAGTAAGACAAACGTTGGGGCTGTTAACACATATTGATCCCTCTTCAACCAAAAAGATATGCTGCATCTTCTAACTCTACTTCCAATGTCTGTAAGCTACTGCAGCATTATTAGCCTCCTCTTTATTATCTTTTCCCAAAAACATCTCATGTTCCAAGTCTTGGCATGAATCTTGAAACCACATTAACTCTAGAAATGACAGTCACAGGCTGACTGGACCAAACAGTGCAACAAGCTGCCAAGACAAACCAGGCCCCAGCCCAGTGTCTCACCAGCTCTCATCCTGCCTTCCCCAGCTTTTGGAGCCTGGATCATGCTGTAAGCATCAATGCAATTGCATGGTTTGCACAAGCAGCAGCTGCACCATTGAAGCACACCAGACTTCCACTGGTTTATCTTCTGCACTGTCCTACTACAATGAGATTTAAAAAATTGCCCTGCTGAAATTTTTCATATAGTATGAAAAATCCAACCCTGAGTATCATAGAGGAACTTGGTCTGCTGTGGCAACCTGCAAGATACACATGCCTTAGCCCTCATCTGCTCTTACTGGGGCATAGTACTGCATTTCTCATCTTTATTCCAGAAGTTTGGGAGAATTTATGCTAGAATTTGGGAGATGTCCCTGCCCATGACAGTAGGGATTTGGACTAGATCTTATTTAAGACTCCTTCCAACCCTTAATATTCAATGATTCTGTGGAGTTTGCATCTGGTTGCTAAAAAAAGCAAAGACATATATACATGGGATAGCTAAAGCATGCAGTGATCATAGCTGCAGCATCTCCATAGCTAGTGGATTAAAAATGTCTTCCAGAGAAAGCTAGAAATGTGCATCTTTTCTTCTGATATTGAAAAAAACAATGCCAGCCACAATGACACAGAATTTGTGGTAATTCCATCACGGAAAAGCCATGGACAAAATTAAGTACTTCCTATAAACAGCTACTTTCATCAGAGGGACGACTCTAACCTAACAAAAACAGTTCCATTTCCCATTCCACCAGTGACCATAACAGGAGAGCAATCCTAGTAAGTGTGTTTTATTCACTGTAGTTTCTCAGAATCTCTTGGAAAATCTATCAAGAAATGAGATAGTGAGGTTTAAAACAGTGAGAGTATTAAAGGTGCTGCTACCTTTTTTTGCAGGTCCTTATCCTATAAATCAGAGAGAGAGGAAGGAGGAAAAGATCACATGAGGAATCAAATAATCTTCACAAGAATGCTGAAGAGAGCATCTGATGAGCAGAACAAGGAAAAATTTCATGCACTAACATAAACATTTAGAGAGGAAAAACAATTGTAGAGGGTACAACTGCTCACTGAATGGCACATCTGTACACAGCATGTGTGTTCAGAGAGGAATGGTTTTGGAAAAAGAATGGCTTGTAGATCTTTTGGGAATAACAGTATTTTTCACTAAAAATCCTCCTTTCTTTAGAAAAGCCTTGGCAAGAAAACATTTTATCTGATCTCTCCAAGGTCCCTCAAGAGCTTCATGACCTTGCTCAATAAATGCTTCTATTAGGGCAGATTGATACTTGAAGCCCAAATAGAAGTCTGTGTTTTCCAATATCAGACTGGCTGAATTAAGCCAAGTGCCCTCCATAAGAACATAGAGAACACAAACCTCACTTCTACACAGGCTAGCATTTCTGTATTTTCCTAACGATTTTCACTTCAAGATCCTCAGGTATTGTACAAAGCAGAAATGAATTCTGCTCCACACCACCACTTTGTGGTAGCTAAGTAGTACTATCCTCGTTTAACATGGAAGAGGAGATCCAGAGGTTAATTGTCTTTCCTAAGGTCACAGAAAAAGCCTCTGGGCAGGACAAAGCAGAGAACCCAAATTCCCTGATCTCACCAGCTTTTTGCCTCTATCATAATCCTGACCTCACTATCTGCAAATACAGAAAACAAAAGTTTTTTTGCCTGGAAGGGATTATGGTTTAGTAATTTCCTGTGATACAGGGATGTGTGAAAAAAAGGGGATAGGAGATTCACAGACATTTGCTTTTAAAATAACAATACTTTAAAAAGCAGAGGGTTTTAACATTCTAGGTAACAACAGGTTCAGCATCTGCAAAGACCTCCCTTTTGTGGAGTGTCTGCAGATCTTTGCAAAACCATCCAGTTTTTAGGAGTACCCCACTACTAATGCACAAAACTTGATTGATCATGTTTTTAATAACACACAAGTGACAAAAACTGAGGTTTTGAAGCCTGCTCAAGTAACAGAATTGGTAAAAGCAAGCTGTTTGCCCCTTTACTGCTTTGGGAGCCTGAATACAATATAACATACAGACACATCCTACCCACTCTACTCGGTCAACTGGCATAATCATGACCTGAGATAATACATATTGTCCATTTCCAACACACCATCCTTCTGCTTTGCACCTCCTGTAACCTAAGAAAATGTATGCTTTGTGATGTGGGGCTGGGGACCAACGTGGCTGGCAAAAGAAGCCACACTGTTTGCCCAAGTGACCTTGGACAAATTGCTTCATGTTCCTGTGCCATGGGCACACCAACAGTAGAATTAGGCAAAAACTGAGCTGCAGCAGAAAAACAGGCATTGGATTCAGCCTCATCTGTTAATTAATGAAAGAACCCAGGTTCAAGCATATAACTTTCCCTCTACACAGCTAAAAAAAAAATCCAATTAATTACTAAATGCTGTATGTTTTTTTCCAAAAGACAAGAGAGAAAAATTCTCAGAATGCTAGACCTCATATTAGGAAAATCACAAAAAGATAACATTCAAATTTATTATCACGCTCGCTTCTCCCTCCTACAAACACCACACTGGCAATAAACACCAGTCTTTTGCTTTAGCTTGTGCTTTTGAGTTGGAAGCTTTCAATGCATGATATCCTGAGGTGCAAAATCCTAATGCCATGCCATGAACAATCAAGATATTTTCTTTCATTACCCTTCTCAGTCACTTAAAGAATAAGGAATCTAGTTATTTAAATAGCATGTTTCTGTAAAAGAAACCAAGGAGAGATAATTTTGTGAAAATCACTTTCTGAGCTGTGCTTTAGGAAAAAAAAAAACAACCTTTCCCCTGCAAATGCCTATAAAATGAGTTTTCATTGCTACTTTAAGCAGAAATACTCAATATTATTGGAAATCCATGCTGGAAAGGCATGGGGGAGGCATTTAAGCTTATTTTACTCAACACCCTTTGATTCATCATCAAAATGAAACAAAAGAGAGGGCGTATATAGGTTGTTTTCTTCATTACGTGGCATGTTATGTTAAAAATAAGTAGTCCTAGAAACAAGTGTAGTGCTGAAATATACCATACAGCTGTGTTCTCTTCAATGTTTGCTTTCATCTTTAATGAGAGTGAAATTCATGTCTGGCAAACACAACTGCCTTTAAAAATTGGTTAAATCAAAGTAACATGTACATTGTTGTCAGAATTATTGCCTAAGTAGCAATAAATAGACAAAAAAATCAGTCAAAAAAAAAAAAAAAAAGTTGAATTGCACATTACAGCCTATAGCCAAAAAAAAAAAAAAAAAGTTGAATTGCACATTACAGCCTATAGCTGATGCACAGATAGAGACACATAGATAAGCTGGTGGACAATTTGCTTTTTCATGCCTAGTAAGTTCCATGAAGAATGCATCTGAAAATGCAGCCAATCTGTTTTATGCTGTTAATTGCTTTCTATTCATTTCCAATAGTGGCAAAACAATAAAAGAGGCATTTTCAAGGCACTGACAAGATATAATAATCAGAATAATGGGAATATTGCCATCAGACATAAAGGTTTCCCAGAGTCCTTTAGATTACATCTGTTCCCAGACTACATGAGAGTAGAAATGGTATTTCTGATACCAAGTCAAAAGAAACTTCAAGTTTCGTCCACAGCCACCTGCCGGGCGTTGCAGAGCGGGTGTGAGGGAGGGTCCTGCACTGTCACGGCACAGCGTGTGGGCTTTGGGACATGCCCTCCACACACGCACACACACACACACAGTCCCACAGGCTTCCAGGGACACCTCAGTAGCTCGTTATTATTCACTTCGGGAAAAGGCGTCAGATGCCATGGATTTTTTTACAAACTTTCCACTCTGCTTGCACTACGTGCCTCCCCTCAAAGCTCCTTGACGTGCTGTGCGGTTTTCCACCCCTTAATGAATTAATGGGATCTCTCTTGCTTCCAGCACTCACAGTGGGGCACTGGAGGGCTTTTCCACCAGCCCTGTGCATCACACACCCCAGGCAGGGAGGCAGCGAAGGGTGCCACGGTGTTCATTACATACGGAGAGACCGAGAGGGGGTGCCCAGGGGAGCGGCACACGGGACACGCTGGAGCGCAGAGGAGAGCGCTGGGGCCAGCCCGGCCCTGCGGGGCGCTGCCGCCGCGCTGCCCGGGGACCGCGGCTCTGCCCCAGAGGCCGGGGCAAAACCGTGTTCCCAACTCGCCTTCACCTTTCCCCAGGAAAACTTTTCTCCCGCGGCCATCGCTCCATCTCCCACACCCGCTGGCGACAAGGGCACGGTGCCCGCCCAGCGCCCCCCTCCTCCCCGCACCCCCGTCCCGCCGCTGTCCCGGCTCCCTCCCCGCCAAGCGCCGCCGGACCGGCTCGGCTCGGCTCTGCGGGGCGGTACTCACGCTGCTGTTGTGTCCGGACCAGTGCACCATGGCTTGGTTGTGCGCCGCATCCCCGGTGAGCGCGAAGGTGGTGCTGCTCAGCCTCGGCTCCTCGGCCCCTCGCGGCCGCGCCGCTCTCGCGTCCTCCGGGGGCCCGCGGGGCTGAGCGCGGCCGCCGCGCTGCCCCTCGGCCGCGGGCACCCCCCGGCCGCCGCCGGCCGGCAGCGCCCGGCGCCCCTCGGTGCTCCGGCGGGTCCGCGGCGCCGCCGGGCCCCGGCTCCCGGGCGCGCCGCCTCCCGCCCCCGCCGCGCGGAGCGCCGCTCCCCGCGGCCCCGCTTGGCCCCCCGGCTCCGCGCCCGGCACCGGCTCCGCGCCCGGCACCGGCTCCGCGGCGGCCGCCGCCCCGACCGAGCCCCGCGCTCGGCCGCCCGGCCAGCTCCGTAATCCTCGCGGCGGCGGCGGCTGTCGCTGCTCCTGCCTAAGGCGAGACGAGGAGGACGGCCAGGAGGGCGACGGAGATGAGCAGGATCTGCAAGTTATTTCGGCGCCGGTGCAACACCAAGAGAGAAGTAAGAACCATGTCCAGGCGAGAAAAATGGTGTGGCAGGTCGGAAAGCTGTTGGTCCCCTTCTCCATGCCTTTGCGAAGCGAGTCGGGGGGCTTGCAGAGGGAGGGGGGATGAGGCGCTGCGTTTAGGGCTTTTTTTTTTTTTTTTTTTAGGAAGAAAGGGGCCGGATTCTAATTATAATATTTATTATTTGCAAAAGGCGCCTCTTTCTCTCGCTCTTCTTCTTTCTCTTCTTCGGTTTTCTCTTGACTCTTTCTCAGCCTCTGAGACGATGACCAGGAGGAAAAAAAAAAAAAAAAAAAAAGGAAAGAAGTGGGGGGAAAAAGGAAAAAAACTCTCCCCGGTAGTTGGATTCTGTTCCTTACTGTTGCTGGATATTTTTTTTTTTTTTTCAAAAGTGCTTTTCAGTGAAACTGTTCACGTTCAAGGATTTGATCAAGTGAGAGGGTACCACCACACGGGGGGAGGAGCCCCGAGCCTTGCCAAGCCGCCGCCGCCGCTGAAATACACCGCCGAGTCACCCGCCGCGCCGCGCCGCGCCGCCGGGGGCCGGGAGCGGGGCCGGGGGCGGGAGCGGGACACCGCGCTGCACCGAATCAGCTGGAGCATCACCCAGCCTTTTCTCCTGATTTGGTACGTGTGCTCCTGGCCGAGAGAAAGCAGCCGTCATTCCCCGCTTCTCCTCATGTATATGTACATAGACTCGCGTTTACAGCGACGTGGGTGCTCCTCGCCCTGTGTGTGTGCGTGCACACACACGCACAAAGGCTGGATGTCAGCCACGGGTACCGGGGCACGAGGGAACGCAGCTGGGATGAGCGGCTCTTGGGTGCCTCCCGTGTGTAACAGCGTACCCACGGAGCCGGCCATCCCTCCAGAGCCGGCTCCGTGCGTGTGGATGCGCCCGTCCCAAGCGCAGCCTCCCGGCCGCGGGAACTCACGCGTGTGCGTGGGAATCCCAGCAACCTTGCCACCGTCCAGCAGGGGAGACTAGCAGGATTTGTGTGGGGCCAATAACGAAGAAAGGGCAGTATCTGCAGGCAGCTCCCTGCAGCAGCATCTCGGGACTGTGTCGGGAGAAGGAGCGAGGGGGAAGTATTTCTTTAGGTCACGGCAGCGCAGCGCTCCCGCTCCCATCGCACGGATGCGTTCCCCCTGGCCAGGACACCTGTTTTCTGCTGGCAAAGCTCAAGAAGCCTTTGCTGCTTCAGCCCTCGGACAAGGTGTGAGTAATGGCAGGCTGTGAATGGGAGAGGGGGGCTGCTGCCGCCTCCCGCGGCTGCGGGGCGTCCCTGTGGGGTCACCCTTGTCATCGCCATCTGTGCCAGTGCCGCGTCCCTCCGGACCGATTCATTGCAGCAACACGTCGGCACTTTCTCTTCGGATCAAACCCACGGTCGACCTTCTCCCGTTCTCCTCCTCCCTTTGAAAAGTGTCGATAATTAGCGATTTTTTTTTTTTTTTTATCGTCCCACCCTCCTACTCCCCGCATCAGCCATTCTTTGCCGTCCAAAGACGGATCCACCAACTACACGGCTCTCCCCGCGGTCCCCCCCTCCCCATCGCCAGGCCCTGTGCGGGGGTGGCTCAACACTTTCTCCCGCCTACCGCGGGTCTCCCAGCCCGGCAGGCACAGAGGCAGGACCGGAGCTGGCACTGCCCGCACTGGGCAGCGGGGAGGTTTCTGGCCAGCGCTTGGTCAGCGCCCGCTGCAGAGCGCCCGGCTCGGGCTGGGGGCTCCGCGCAGCCCGGCTGCCGCAGCGGCCGAGGAGAGCCGGAGGAGGAAAGCGGGGCTGCACACAGCGCTGCCTGTTGCAAACGGGGGAGCGGTCGCTCAAGAGCTGTCCTGCAGGAGTGGGAAGAGCGGCCGGGGCGGCAGCCGGTGCGCTCACAACAGCGCTGACAGCCTCGGGAAGGAGGCGGGGGCCCTACCCACAAACGCGGCCCTTTATTAGCCTCAATTCCCAACGCAGAGAGGGAGAGTGGGAGGTGGGGGTAGGGGAAACGCGCCCACTCCCAACGCAACGGATGGTATTCCTGGCTTGGAATCGGCTCCTTTTGTGTTGTGCTGCCAAAATGTTTAGATGACATTTTATTTGTGTGGGAGCAGTGACGTGGGCCTGAGCCAGAGCTGCTCCACAAAACCTCAGGCGAGGGGATTTCACAAATGGCACACTCGTACCAGGCGCTACCCTGTATGCACAGGGACACGCCAGCCCAAGGCTGCACACTGCTGCTGCTTGTAAGCAAACAGCAGGGTGTGGGGAACAGGAAGGACCCTACTGTCCCCCAAATTCCACTGCTGCAGGAACAGAGTTCCCAGGTATGTGGCATTAGCAGCACATATGCCACCCCAGTGTCTTGCCATTGCTGTGCAGCGTGAGGAGAGGCACTGCCCACCTAATGCCATCCTCTAGCAGTGAGGCTGCAGCTGTGACAGGTAGAACTTGTTCTTAAGTTATAATCAAAGTTTCTGCAGTCCCGCTGGACCCAGAAGCAGCGCACGGCTGCTCCTGAAGGTCTCTGCACATCCAGAATCCCAGGCACCACATAGTAAAACTACTGTGGTGTTGGCAATTGCACCTATTAGCCAGTACCCTGCAGTGCAGTCCACCCAGTCCTATTTATCTTCTCAGCCTTGCTGGACACTGCTTAGGACCTAGTCTATGTCCAGATCCTGATCAGTCACTCCTTTGTGCAGCAGCATCCTTGACTTCATGGCCACCCTGACCAAGACAGGACTTGTGGGCACATCTCATTTTGCAAATCCTGCCAGCACAAAGCATTTATTTGTGTCCACCACATCCCTCTTTGTCACCACAAGAGCCCAGCTGTGCTGGACATGGCACAGAATGTGAAGGTGAACACTTGAATGAAGCCTAACATTTTATTTAGGACAATACTTCCACCGTTCCAATAGCAGGTGTTTTCTACCGTGCAGACTGAAGAGCCATTACTTGCAATCGCCTCTGTGAGTGTCATCCTCACCTGCCACACTCGGGGATAGTCCCAGACATTCAGTGCCGACTATGTCAGTGAGATTCCCCAATCCCTAATTTCTCAAGACAGCCAGCCACAGGAAGCTCTGGTCTTTCTGAAACAAATTCTAAACTGCCTTCATAAGTGCTTGCTTATTGCTGTTAAATGATAGGATGCACAGCTGGGGGAGTCCCACCGATGATGTGGGACTGCGAACTAAAATCTCCCCGCTCCGCCTCAGCAGTGCCGAAGAGAGCAGCAGCCGAGCTCTCGAATATCTTTCCTTCCCTAGAAAACAAAGGTAATGTGAGCAACACCCCCATCTCCTGCACGATTCGCGAACTGCGTGCCCATCGCCAGCACACAGGAAAAGGGGCTTTTCCAGCTTGTACCATCCCTGTTGCAGGAATAACAGATTTAGTTCAAAACCTGGCCTCTTGCATGACAGGGTGACAGTGAGGATGTCATCTGACAACCCTAGATTTGCACAGTCTATATCCAAGAATAGAAATTGAATAGTTCAACACAGTATCCATTACAGGCTGTTTTAAGCCCTGATCTAATCCATTATGATCTGCTTTAATCCCCACCCAGCTGCAAACATCCATTAAAAGAAGCAGGGGTTGGTATTATATTCTGTTGGACCATGTTGATTTTTAATTGATGTAGAGAAAACCATATGCCCTAACACCAGGCAATGCAGAGGATTTCTAAATAAGTAAGTAAATGTTCTGGAAGGCAAATTGTGGCACAAATACAAAGTAGCAGAACATGCCTATAACCGGGGGGAGCTGAGTTCAGTTAAGGAGAGAAAAGCAATTGGGGGAGTTATGTTTGTTTGGAGGGGGTGATTTGGATGGAAAAAGACAAATGACACTATCTAAAGAAAGAAACAAATAGAGCCTGGCAATTGCCAAAGCCTTCAAAAGCAGCATTGATTATTTGGGGTTTTCTTTTTTTTTTCTCCATTCCTATTCTGTGACTTTCATGTGGGAAAAACATAATTGTTAAATGTCAAATTCTATCACACATATCAATAACTTCATCATCACCGCCTCCGCTGTAGATTGTAGACCTGCTCCCCAGTACCTCAACCCTTCTGTTTTGCCCAGCTCTGCCTCTCATTGCTCCATGTTCCTCTCCTCCTGCAGGATTGCACACACCCAGAACTCCCTGGAGGCCCACAGTGTGTCTCCCAGTCACTATCCCCAGGAAATTTCTGAGTGAGAGCTGGAACATGAAAGAAAGGAAGAGTTAGGTAAGAAATCATAAGAGGAAAATTTAGAGAAGGGAAAAAAAAATTAATGTCCCAGCTACACTGCAGTCTTTTCACACACTCGTATCCTCCCCTGAAAGTCTCCTGAACTACTCAAGCCCTCCCAAGGGAGGAAATCCCACACATACTAAAAGAAAAATCAATGCTTGCTCCAGTTAACTTTAACCTATTTATTACGTGTGAGACCAGTCACTGGAAAACAAAGCAGCTCTGTGATAATGCTGTCTTGTTTACCAAGAGCCTGAATCTACCTAAACAAAAATCATTAAAAGCTGAAGTATCCCTGTACCCTCAGACAAAACGTCACCTGCAGGCAGGGCCTCCACCATTTTTGCTGGTGCAGTACCAGCCCCCTTATGGGCAGATTTTCTCTGAGCACAGCCAGGGTGTGCAGCAGTCTGAAACACAGCAGGCCCGTGGCACCAGCAGACTTGCTGCAAAGCTCCTGAACAGGGACTGCAGAAAACTGCAGATGCTGCAAGAGCGAGTCTGGTTTCTGCACTGAACGATGAAGTGGGAGTCCAGCAGCCCAACACAGCAGCAGAAACACAGGAACCACATCGCAGCACACCAGAGGAGGTGTTTTACACAGCCTGGATCTAGGGACTGCGGCAGGACACTCGGTCTCAGCTGATCTTGGAACAGGGTCCTCCCAAAGTGGATCCCCTCACTGCATCACAGCACCACCACCACGGTCTCTCTGATCAACACCACTGACACAGTGCCCCAGGGCAGGAGAGGGAGCCACAGGCCACACTGGGACTGCAGCAGGTGGAGGCTTAGCCAAGTGAAGAACTCCTCAGGATCTCACCTCAGGCTCACCAGCATGAGCAGATGTCACGTCAGGTTTGGTGACCAACTTGACTGCATTCCTCCTTTGGACTTTATCTATCTGAACACTGTATCTGTGGGGGACAGAAGAGCCCCTTTCATTCAGGGATGCTCAGAAAGCTGCACTCTCTTCACCCACTGATAAGGCTGCCCAAAAGGTGCCCAACCTGCACAGTGCAGGTAAGAGGCTTGGCGAGACACAGAACAGGCAGGGGTGTTTTCAATTTTCTGGGGAAATTCAGCAGGTTTTAAGTCATGTTTCTAGTTAATGTTGAGTTTTGTTGTTCATCTTAAAGCTAAGATAAGAAAATCCCTTTCTGCTGATAATCAGCATCATCAGGAATGCCAAAGAGCTTATCAGAATGGAATGAGTTCACAGATTTGCAGCATATACAAAGATAAATTGTGCAGCACACAAGTTCACAGTGTCGAATTCACTGCATGTTGAAGGTTCCATAT